ATCTGCTTTTATAGTACTAGTCTTAATTCTAAGAATGTTAGTTAAATGGGAAACGCTCGACCTATTTCTTTCAGCACTTTCGAAGTTTTTTATGCACGTAGAGAATTGTTTACAACAGTATGTACTACTCCACATGCATAACAGTTTTCAGGATAATTAGACAATTTCATTAAATTCATTAAAGAATGAACTTCTTTATAAAATTCAAGAAGGGAATGTTTATGATAAGTTTTCAAAGATTGCCTGCTTTCAAGTTCAATGAGTTCTAGCTGGTATTCGGCTGGTACTTCCACATAATTAAATAAAAATGGATCACTAATTCAATTTCTATTTTTCTTAAGCAAGAAAATCTGGATGTTAAATCTTTTAACAAAACTGAAAAAAAATATAGTAAATTATGTGAAAGTCCACAGGAAATTCTTCTTTTCTTTTTAATAAACTTTGAAAATACAGAATTTCACACTGCAATTTTATCATGACAAATAAGGCAGATAATATTATTGCATGTTTCGATTATGAAATATTTTTCTGGCCAAAAGATATTGAATTTTTTGTTTTCTTCTGTTATTTTGATTATTTTAGTATTAAATGCCATGACCAAACGCTGGGTTTTTAAAAATATAAATTTAAAGTTGATGAAATAATTACGAATATAATTGGAGGTCGAAAATATTTAAATTATTACGTAAGCAAAAGAAATATATAGATAGTCTTACGTCTGTATTATATACCTGTAATTACAAAGAATGCCAAAGTGGAAGAGGTTGATTTATTCTTTATTTTTATAAAGAAAATATTAGCCCATTCCACTTTGACATTAGGCTTAGCCTCGAGTCACTAAAAATGGCTGACTCTCTTTTGAAAAGAGGGATTACGTGTGTTTTTTATCCATCTGACGAAATGTTACCATTCTTTATCACTACATTACAAAAACCTTTGAAACTAAAACAATCAAACTAACAGATCATGCCACCAACTGTTTTGATTGGTCAGTTACAAATTATGTCACCAATTACGTCATTTCGACATCAAAGTGTATCCAGTGAAACGAGAATAAATTTTATGACATACTTTACCAAAATAAATGAAATTGTACCTGAAAAATTTAGAGTGCAGTGGGCCGCATAAAAATATTAAGTGGGCCACGGGTTGGTTGGACATCTCTGGTGTAGAAGATAAAAAAGACCTTCCTAGTTCCCGCAGGATGGAAAGAGTAAAAATCGTAATGTTACCGTTCCTCAGACATGCGTTCTAGTCCGGCGTAGACAGGCATTCTAGTCCGAAATGTTAGTGGCCCGAGTAGACGAACCACAAAACACTGGTTGGTCGTGGGTTTCCGCCTAGCCACGCGGTATCCTCCGAGTTTTCTTCACATTTGTAACACCTAAATAGGGGCAAGTTTCCTTTAGGATGCTCTCCCGGGAGGCACCCCTTCTCAGATCGCTCATTTCGGTAAACAAATAAACCGAAATGCTTAGTCCTTACCTCTCGTCTCATTACCGCTCCCGTTGTCGTCCTTGCCAAATTACTGATGAGCATGGAAGTAGCCTTCTTAGTGCCCGCAGAAAAAAAATGAAATGCCACTTGTCCAATATATTCTAAATGAAATGTATGGACACTTTTTAATTTATCTCTTCTTTATCGGTAGCATAATACTTTTGCTATGTAGAGAAGAAAATCAGTTCATTCTCGACGTTATAATGAATTTAAATTTATAATAAATTCCATTTCATCAACGGTAATATTTCATCTTTATTTATCATTATATCATTCAGAGGCCGATGGCCTAGCCCAGCGGTGCCCAACCTTTAGTCTACTTGTAGCAAATTAAGAGTTTAAAAATTTTAGGCGAGCCACACATAGGACGACGACCTTTTTTCTTGAAAAATTCAGCGACAATAGGTAAAAGAATACACAATAATATTACACTACTACTAATCTACTACAAATTAAATATGATACAGGACGAACAAAACTTATTTATTAATAATCAATGTGAAGACTGACATTGCATATCTTCTGCCAGTTTATTGTACTCTGGTACGTAAGGTGTTACAGCAAGAGTCATACAATCATTCAGATGCTCATTTGTCATTCTGGATCTGAACTTTGATTTTAAAAATTTCATTGTCGAAAATCCACTTTCACAAAGGTAAGTTGATCCAAAGCAGAAGTTTAACCTTTGAAAAGTTTCCTTTACAAGTGGATATTTTCTCACATCCACAAGTGTCCAAAAATCAGTTTGTGATACTCTTGCTTTTAATTGTAGGTCAGATTGAAAATCAATTATTTCTATTTCTAAAATACTGACATTTTTATTCAATATACTTGCAATTTTTTGCGATATTTCAGAAATATTAATATCAACAAATGGATTTAAAATGAATGAAACAATTGGATGAATTTTACGGAAATCAGAAAATTTAATTTCGAAATTATTTTTAAGTTCAGCAAGATTTTCAGAATATTTATCTGATTCAATTTTCTTATATTTATGAATATAATTCTGTAAATTTGGAAAATGGCTGAAGTTACATCCTTTAATTTGGGATATCCACAAATTTAATTTTGACTGAAATGCATTTACACTTCCTATTAATTGAAAAACAGTTCTTTGTTCCCCTTCAAGTTCAAGATTGAGTTTATTCATTTTGGCTGTTATATCAGTAAGAAAGGATAAATCTGACAACCAGTCATGGCCATTAAGTTCTTCGTAAGTTTCGTTTCTGGATTTTACAAACAGTTTTATCTCTGGTAGAAGATCTACAAATCATTGTAAGACTTATCCCTTACTAAGCCATCTAACTTCAGAATGTAACATTAAAGTTCCATACTCAGCATCAAGTTCATCAGTCAGTATTTTAAATAATCTGCTCTGAAATGGTCTGGCTCGAATAGAATTTACAATTTTTATAACAACTTTCATGACATGTTCATAATGCAACACCTTTGTACATAACGCCTGTTGATGGATGATGCAGTTAGTGATAATGAAAAAAATTTGGAAACTCAGCATCATTCTTACATAATGTGATGAAGCCAACACCAGAACCAATCATAGCAGGTGCTCCATCAGTTGTTATAGACACAAGTTTTTGAAGGGGCAGATTAATTTCTTTAATGTAGTTTTTAATAACTTCGTATATGTCCTTTCCACGTGTATTTCCTTGTAGTGGCAAAACTGATAGTATATCTTCTTTCACTTTGCAATCGTTAAAGACCATCCTTATATAAATATTTATTTGCGCAATATTACAGATGTCTGTTGATTCATCACATTGTAAACTTAAAAAAACACATTTTTCTAAATCTTTCTTTCTTTGTAATTTGATATTTTCAGACATTGCTTCTATTCTACGAGTGACTGAATTTCTTGATAATGGAACATCTTCAATAGCTGATATAATTTCATTCTTATTTTTAAATTCTTGAAACAATGTTTGTGATGCAGCAAGCATTGCTTCTTTATGTTGCCATCGTCAAAGGGTTTTTTGTGCATTGCAAGTATATGTGCAATCTTAAATGAAGCAATTGTAGAAGCTCTTGATTTAGTCACGGACCTAGTAAATACAGATTGTTGGGCAACTAATGTGGCTTTTAATTCTTTCACTTCAGATTTTCTTAAACTGCTGTTAATAGGATATTCAGTATCATATTTTTTTATGAACCGTTGTAAAATGTCGTTCTACGTTGCACTTTTTTCCAATAGCAACTGTTGAACCGCAAATCAAACACATACATTTGTTCTTAAATAAAAAAATATTTCTCTTCCCAATCTTCTTGAAAATTAGATGTCCGTTTTTTCTTTTTCTCTGGCTCATATTCAGACATAATTATGCGATTAGGGTAATTATAAGATAAATATAATTGTTAGTACCCTTATATTTACCTTTAAAATAAATCAAACGGTAAAACCTTAGGCGATCCTGACTAACGTTGTCATGTTTGATCCCTGCTTCGAGAGTAGACGATACTGTCCGCCACGAGATGGCAGTCAACTACTTCCGGTAATTTGGAGAAAAAAATTTATTTTTTGCGCGAACTTTTGTCCATCTTGTTTACGAAATATATATATATATTTTTTATTTCTTTCAATTAAAAAATAATATATATATACATACTTATGTATAATTTTTAAAAACTATTTTATTTTTAATAAACATGATGAATCCGAATACGCGAGCAACATGTTGTTCGCGAGCATAGGGTCGGGCACCGCTGGCCCTAGCCATTAAGACAGGGGTCACCAAACTTTTTTCACAGCAGGCCAGATAACTCAGAGAATGACGAGCGCGGGCCGCATAACCATCTTGTTCAATACAGTACAGTGAATACACAAAAAAATAAAGACAACATATTTTTTTACCAATACACAAACACGATCGCTGCAGCAAGCTGGCAACCTCTCTTCTTAGAAACTTCATTGCAGATATAGTACTTAAACAAAACGCGCTCTGATATCCAAAGTCGTAAAAAGTCGCCGAATTTTTTATTTCAATGATTTTTCCCTAAAACTTATATTACTGTCAGATGAAAAAATCAGATTGGACCACTTCTGGCATTTTTTCTTACAGTTATTTTTATTTCTTCTACGTAACAAGTTTATTTACAAACTATGATATTTCCATATAAATAATTACATTTTATCTCATTTGTGGCACAGTGCGGCGGCGGGCCGTAGTTTGGTGACTCCTGAATTAAGTAACAGCCTGCCACTCCGGAGAATCCGGAAGGATGGAAAAATCGCAGAAACTTTTTCGGGAGTCCATTCAGATAATGGGTTCAACCAGGCCCACAATGGGCCTGGCCGAACCCAAGAGCTGGCTAAAAAGGCCCTCTTACTGTCTACCGGGCGGGGTTAAAAACAAGATTATATTAATCTATCACTTAATGTGGCTTTTTAATTATATTAATATTTCGAACAGAAATTAATTTCGTTAACATAACACTAAATTTATTAAATTTACGGGAGTATTCATTGTCGTTTTCGTTACTAATTCTTCCGAAGTGTTGCCAAATGTCCGAGTTCTATATCGATTACTCCTCCCTCTGTCGAGTAAAATCGAAAACATCGAAGGAAAACAAACATGGCAAACAAGAGCGATGTACTGTGGCAGGATCGCGACATCAGATTCGATATCAGTTCTCAGTGAGTATTCTTTATACAAACGTCGACGATACAATTTTTTTTTTTACACTGTTTTAATCTCGCCCGCGTATAATTGTTTAGGGAAATGCAATTTCGACCCGGCGAAAACTTGATCGATCGATTAGATATGGTGGAAGATACCAAGGGCAACAGTGGAGATAGAGGTGAGTATTTCCCGGGCGTAATTATGAGGCCTTATTTCGATCCTCTTCTAAAGGCACGTTAACTCTTGCCACAACATATTGATTCTATCGAAAGTTAAATCTATTTGCAGGTAAACTTTTCATCACCAATTTGAGAGTTATCTGGCAGTCGCACTGTAGACCGAGGATCAGTCTGTGTAAGTGTTTTGATTGATTTATCGTACTTACAATGTTACCACTTGATAAGTGGTAACATTTTTCCAGTCTGTTTGATCTGCAGGTGTTAATATAATTCGGTCCTCCGATTTGCTGTTGGATCCAACTGCAGATTTAGCTATCTGGTCACAATTTCTACAATTAAAAGCCAGAGTTCTGGTGTTTTCTTTTTGTTAAAATACCCACTCTCTTGTAATGCATTGTAATTATTACCTGTATACCCACCCGCACGTGTGTCAGATAATTTAATGGTCCTATACTCCTCTTTCAAGTTTTTTAGTGGCATTTAATTGATGCATAAGTAGCAAACAAGTCATTTAAATTTGACACACAACCCCCTTTAGTTTTTTATTCTTGTTTTATTACTTTTTGTCAAGGAAATGTGGAAATGTTGCCACATTAATATCTTCCAAATAAGATGCAAACGGCACAATGTAGGATTTTCGGCTTTAAAAGATGTCCGGGAGAAAACTTGCACCTGGTCTTTTTTTGAAGGCAGAGATTGTATTATTCTGTATAATTACCACTGAAAAATATTGTATAATACGGCCAAATAACCGTTATTTATTTATTTTGTTTTATATTTGTATTTATGAGTTTGCTAAATGGAGGAAGTCGCCGTTTACCTGACGGCATAGTTTGAAATATTTCTAAATAAATAAATCAAATTGCATGCTGACAGAAGAAAAGTATGTTGCACAATTCAAATTTGAAGAATAAAAAAAAATATATGTATTATTATATTATAAATAAAATCTTATTAGATAATTATTTTATTAAACTTAATCGTTGCACCTAAATACTGCCCACAATACAGAATATTTTGCCTCCTAAAGCGGTCGGTATTTTTGGTCCTGTAAATGAATAGTTATTGAAGTTGCAATGTATTTCATTATATACTTATTAATAATATAAAATCTATACTTATTAACTTTTATTTAATTCTACTGTAGTTTTTAAAAAATTCTGAATATTCTGGTGTTCTCCCCGGAAAAATTTTGTACGGTTGATTTTTAATTTTTTCTGTATGCTGTCACACATTTCCTTATGAACTTACAGGGCTCCTATTCACCTGGAAAGTCAGGGATTTTCATTAGTGTTCAGAAAAAGTCATGGAAAGTCAGGGAATTAGCCTCCTTGGCTGCCTTGTTGATTTTTTTTGCTGACAATATTCTGGACTAAGTGTAGCCATGGCAAGGAGTAATTTGGTCCAATATAACTTATGAAAAGGGTGCAGAATATTTTCTGAACCCAAAATTTCTCCCAAGCATATACAAAATTTTCCTAAAAATTTACAAAGTACAAAAAATGATAAATTTTAATTTAAATGTTATTATTTATCATTTTTCATTTTAATAATTTTGATTGCGTAACAAAACAAGTTTTGATTTATTTTCTTGTTTATTATTTATTATATTTTATAAAGTTCAGGAAATTTATTAAGGAATAAATTTAACAAATATATTCTTTTGTATAGTACATGTATTATACATGATTTGTTAATGAATAATAAATAACACAACTGTAAATCTACATGGCTTTTATTCAAAGTCATGTAGATTTACGGTTGTGGATTAATAACAAGATAAACTATTTTAATTTAATAAAACAATTTATTTTTAGTCTTAATAATTTGGCAATTATAAAAAAACATATATAACTGTTAATTAGAAAAAAAATAACTAATTAAAAAATTGGAGAAGCAATAGTGTATATACATAGTAAGTTAAATGCTGTTTTATTTTGTCAATGTGCTATAGTGTAAGGGACATGAGGGTCAGGGAATTTGTACAAAATTGGACAGGGGAAGTCAGGGAAAGTCATGGAATTTAAAAGAAAAATTTGAGTAGAAATCCTGATTACTTAGTTAAGGATGACTGCAACTTCTTTGGTTATGCATGCGATCTCTAGCAGAGTTGCGTGCATAACCACAGAGGTTACAATCAGCCTTAATGACAATGTAATATTCACAATACTCACTAGTTTGTAGTCTAATTAACGGAAATTATTTTACTATATTTTATTTATTATAATTAAAAATATTTAACTGGTTGATTGACTGGCTAAACCAGTTGATTCAGTCATTTGGGGAGAACACCATAATGGTTGTTTTGCCCTTCTTAGTCTAGTAAAATTGTATGTAGCACAGGTTTTTCATGCAATATGTATACTTTACAGCAATAGGTTTTAACTGCATAACTAGTTTGTCGACAAAAACTGTGAACTCGGTAAGTATTTCGGTGCTCCGTCTAGAAAACTAAACGTAAAGTTAACCAATTGATTTTGATTTTCAGAAATTAAGAGGAATCACCGAAGCTTTATACATATTAACAAAAACAAATAATACAAGATTTGAATTCATCTTCACCAATCTGGTGAGTATAAACTTTTCGAATGTCTGTTTCCAAAATACAATTACGTTTGCATATTAACAAGAAATTCTGTTTATCAGGTGCAAGGAAGTACCAGACTGATGACATCAGTAATTGGAGTTTACAAGTAAGCGGATCAGATGTTTTACGATTCTCTCTCTCTCTCTCTACATATATATAACAATCTGAATTGTTTCTATTCTTGTTCAGAGCATACAGTTCTAGCAAAACGTATAGAGAATTAAAACTGCGCGGAGCGGTAATTCAGAACAAGCAATTGAGAGTGCTGCCCCAGGAGCAAATTTATAATAAAATCAACGGCGTGTGGAATCTTTCTAGCGATCAAGTAATTCATAATGTGGTTAATGTTTGAAATGTCTTTTGATAGCTATAGCTTAGGGAATTTTTTAAGGGAAATTTGGGAACATTCTTTGTCACAAACATCCGGCTAGTCTGGCATGCCAACATGAATGAGCTATTTAACATCAGCCTTCCTTATATTCAAATGGTGAGTTAACATATTTACAGAATATAAAGTTAAAACATTAAAATATATTTTTCTTATTGCATGTAGGCCAACCTGAAAGTGAGGGAATCAAAATTCGGGATGGCTCTGGTGGTAGAAAGCACAGAAAATGTAAACAAAACCTTCCAGCATTAATATTTAAATAGAAATAAATTTTAAATGACAACCGTTTAACTTTTCAATTATCGTGTAGAGCGGAGGTTACGTATTGGGATTCAAGATCGATCCTCTAGATAGACTACAACAAGTTCATAAAGAACTGTCGAGCCTGTTCCAAGTCCACAAAGCCAATCCAATATTTGGTGTCGATCATTACATCGAGAAAAAGGTACCTTACTAGCAAAAACAAGGTGTGCTTTCTATGCTGTGTGTCTAATACAAATGTATATTTATTTTTCTTTAGGCAAATGACATGGATTCTAGCGAACATCCCAAAATTGAAACATTCGATGAAGACGTGGAGATAATTACGTCCAAAGATCAGTACGATGTTTTTGCTGTAAGTACTGTAGAAATCAACTGGATATTCAGGTCTCTTGTACAAAAAATACAAATAAACCCATCAAATTACCTTAAAACATTTTAATATTTCCGAAATTTCTCAGGCATACTTTGCAGATGATGGTCAGCACACAGATAGGGACGTGGTATACAGCGAAGAATTAGGACTGGCCATTGAAAAACTGAAAGAAGGATTTACTTTATCTAACTTGTGGGAGGTTATACCGAGTTAATTCCGAGTACTTGTATGCATTTCCGTTATTTATTCATGTATCTGTAAATGCACATTCAATAAAACAACTGCAATAATAATAATAATAATATTTTTATTTATAACAATTGTATAAAAAAACAATTTTAAAAATTACAAAATGTGTTATAAATCAATAATTAACATTTTCAACTTTGTATATGTATATACATAAACAATAACATAAGTGTATAAAAAATTTAAATATTTTTGCTTCTTGGATGAATTAGAAAATATTTTAGTAATACAGAGTACATTTTGTCACACTGTTGAAGGACATGTAACTCACTAAGAATATTTTTTGAGGCATGATTGTAACATTTAAAAATAGTACTTTTGTGGCATGAGTTTCAGATTATAAGAACGGTTATTAATTAATAAAAAAGCATGCCAAATGTACCGTTTGATTCTGTTTCGTCGATCGCATAGATTACATATGTTTTAGCATTTTTTGTGATGCAAAAACAAAAAGCTCCAGTCTTTTCTGTCGAATATAGCACAATTTTGATACATTAAAAACCCACATTTGTAGATAAAAATATTGTACAGCTAGCTGAGCTGGTAGGTCATCAATTTTCCCTTCCCAAAACCACAATTTGAGTCCAGGTCAGCTCTCGTGGGTACAAAAAAGTGCCCATTTAGCGGCCACAGAGTAAAAACAATTTTCTGCATTCAACACAGATACTTGAAATATGATATCTCATTTATATATTTTCTTGTCTTATTGACAGTAAAGAACCATAAAATGTAGAAAGATTGTGCAATAAATAGAAATAAGCTCATTTGTTGTCTATGATTATATATATGTTTATATGACAAAACAATATGAATTAAATAAGTTCTATATGCTTTCATGCAAACTGAGAACAGCAGTATAGGAGCAATATATTATAGACAGTGTAATTTTTGATGCTACTGTTTATCCTTTTTTCTGAGAAACTATTTGATTCTTGATTTGTAATTTGTACAATGAACTCATCTGATTCACTTAAACTATGTATTTTGAGAAACGCTATGAGCAACTTTTTACTATTTTTATATTTTACTATTTTTATTTACTATTTTACTATTTTTATAGGATACGCAATTAAAAACCGATTTTCAATAAAATATACTATTGCATAATGATATCCGACTATACTTTTCAATACTTACATTTCTATGATTAATTTGGAGGAATAACTGCAAGTTATTCGCATTTTCCTGCTAGCGGTTTGTAAGCAAATATATTGCGCATACAAAATTGTCATTTGCTATTTACAATGACCTTCAATTGACGGTGTGACAAAATGAACCTATATTACAAAATATTCACATTTTCATTTTTGAAGTAGTTTTTTCTTTCCCTTTTATACAATACATATCACAAAATATATAAATACATTTCTACAAATGTAAGAGCCAACAAAAACAACATTTTGGACAAATATATTTACATACATTCTGAATTTATATATTACATATATATATATATATATAAAAATTTGAACAATTAGTTTTAATATCACAGTCAGTAATATTGTGCCACATTTTAAGATTGCATGTTGTGTGTGTCAAACAATTTTGACGAATGTGAGATTCCATTAAGTTTTCTTCCTATGAAAAACTGATGTGAGTTGTATTACTGTGATAATTTCACAATAATCACGCTCGCCGATGTACCAACGTGCTATACCACTTCATTATTTCTTATAGTGTGAATATGAAGGCCTTCCTATTGAGCAATGCTTGCTAGCAATTCTGTCACTAAAGTATTACATGTTTACATACATTTACATGTTTTAATACATACATAATTTACATGTTTTAATATGTACTTGTGATTTCTGCATACTCGACAGTTGTCAGATGATATCGTAATTGGTTGGAATAATAACTGCTTAATACAAATAAGAAATATTATTCTGTGTTTATCAATAATACTTGTGTAAATATTAAAAATGCAGTATTAAATCTACCATTGATTTATTTTTACGCAGGATAATACAGTGCATCCTACCATCAATGAGTAACTTAGAATACTTATTACATTTGATAATTAAGCAGAATGCATGTTGCAAGTATTGAAAATCCAATATTGTTATTATTTTGTAACTTTTATCAAAATTCTACAATTTGTTTAATGCAAATGTTTTGCAAATTGTAACACATGGATACATTTTTATACAATAATTAAATTATAGCCAAAATATTGTAATATTATGTAAAACTGAATACTAAATTTTAATTTCTATACAATGCAATTCATTTCTTCTTTTGCAGTTTTCTGTATAATAAATAATGAAGTTTGCATAGCACATTGAATATATTGAGATATTAACTTGCTTGTCAGAGCAACTACACGGATAATGGACAGGTCGAGTTTATACAGAAATGTAAGGTTAGGGGAGAGGAATAAAAGACAAAAATTGATGGATAAAATGACATTACAAGTTACATTTACTTTTTACAATCGATTGGCAATATGTCAGCTTATTGGTCTGTACCAATCATAAAATGGTCTAAATTTCAGTCAAGTTAAAGCTTATTGTAATTTTTAGAATAGCTGTAATTTGAAATTCTTTCTAAAAATATTTACGTTACCAATCAAACAGAGGGGAGGGAACATTAAAATAGAAATTGTCTACTTTGTTGACGATGGAAACATTTTCATTTGAATGTACTAAAGACACAGGCTTAGAAAAAGAAATTCTGCTGTTACAATAGGGTGACTTAACCAGTAAATGACTGACTTCTAGCGAATGACTACAAGTCATTCGCTAGAATTCTAAGTTAATTTGTCAAATCCCAGCCAAAACTGTACAACAAAGAAGAACAATGGGTGACATTTTGTACCAGTAAATTACTGTATGCTTCCTACCAATATCATTTACTGGATTTTTCTTTCCTTGAAAGATAATGCTTAATTTTCAGATGCACAGATATTTTAGAATGCATCATCCTTCCATAAAACAATATACTTTAAAGCATACGTGCAAGTTACATCTTATTAATTAGGTAAAAATGGCAAAGTAAAAAATAATCCTGAACTACATCACTTAAACGATCATTCATGGGTCTAGTCACCCTACACATATTGCTCATATTCATATTTCACATGTTAAATTTGACAATCTTTTCAATTGTCGAAATTAGTTCAAGATTCATTGTCTTGGACTACTTTCTTATAAAAACCAGAGGAAAATGCCATTGTAATCATTCAAATTTAAATCAAAATATTTCAAATGTAATGCAATTTTTTTAACTTCCTCCAGAGAGTAATTTTATAAAACCTACACTTCGCAGTAAAATTAATTCAAACTTAAATTATAATACTAGATAAATATATACTGTACATATTGTCCTGCCATATTTTACAATAAATAAAGTATAATTAATTAATTTAAATACAGTAATTATAAATTACAAAAAGTTTCATAGGGAAAAAAATAATAATTATTAGTAATTTATAAATAATATAATACACACACATTTCTTTAAGAAGTATTTTATACAAACAGGCACACACACAAATAATGGGTAAAAATTACAATTATTGTAACCACTATATCAAATTTTTCAAATCATTAATTAAATCCTGTAGCTTATAAGAATATGAAACATGAATGCATATATGTATGTACATACAGCAAAATGTTACCCTCCTAGTTGAAGGAAAATGAAAATCCAAAGCAAATACATTGGTCCACTACAAAGATTCAAAGTGTTTGTTTAAAGTGTATGAGAAAATGTGTCAATGTTAATTTAATATAAGTTTTTATAAATGAAACAACCATTTCTGATTATACTTTAAGCAAAAAATTCAAACTAAATTGAGCTGAATTACATCTTTCTATAACAAAAGCAAGATAAACTGCAATTATATGTATATACATGTATATTATGTATTTGTTTCTGTTTTCTAGAAAATTATAAAGAAGTAGACAAAGGAAAAGGTCCCTCAAGTATACCTGATAGACTTATTTACATTTATAAGAAATATGAATTTGGTACTACATAAAAATGCAAACTTCTGCTGTATCCAGCAAGATACTTATACCGTTTCTTGTTTTACAATTTTCTTGACAATGAATAGTTTATTGACAGGAAAATTGTAAAATAGTAGTAGTAGTACATGAAAATCCTATTTTGATGTAAATATAACTGCAGAATGGTAGTGTGATTTGGGACATTTCCCATAGTGATGGTACAAAATCAGTAAAGAATTATATTTTCTCAATTCTAACATGTATTACTGTGATTTTGAAATTGAATGTTTAGGTACTTTTTATGAGCAAAAAAATTTTAAACAATTAATTTTATTAAGAACAGGTGAGAAAAACAACACAATTGACACAAAACTTGCTGCAGCACACTATCAATTTGAAGAAATTTTAAATGATAATAAAGAGTTTAAGTCATATGCCAATTACTGGCAAAACTCATTTAAATTAGCATGACGGCTCATCTAAGCAACATAGTTAATAAAAATGCTTATTGTGTATGATTGTTGTGTAACACACCATGCCATCCGCTTGCTGTTTGAATCACAAATGTAAGACATCACTCATTATAAGATGCATTTCTGGTAATATTTAGAACTGAGGAAATATTATATATATATAAAAAAAAATAGTAGTACAAACGTAAATAAATCATTTTATTTCTTTTTTTGAAAAGTTTCACCACTTTCTATTAAAGCATACAATTTAATAGAATGGAACTATTCGAAAAAGAAAAAAAAAAAATGTAATCTAAATTCAAAAATTATGAAGTTAGGATAGTTTATGCTTGAACTGTTTTTTAAAATAATTCTTTATTAATTTTATTTCCTTACTATGCTTATGCCTGCGAAAAGTGTTCCAACTGCTCCTCCTAATACAATTGTATTAAACTAATTTTTTTTGCAACTTTCTAATGTTTGGCAGTATTCAATGTTCTACATCAATATCACATTACTTTTCAAGTTAAAATTGTGTATGTTTCTTACATAGACATAGTTAAAAAAATTTCTATGTAGATGTAAATTCATTTATTTAACACAAAGATAATTTAAATTATTCAGAAGTGTATGTAGAGTATGTGCAACTTATGTATCCACCGTGGCCAAAGTAGGACTCTTCTAAACCCCGAATGTGGCTGCCTTATACTTAAGCGAATTCTTTTTTTATAAACTTAGCACATACTTTGTTACATACCTACCTACCTAAATGCATGCAATCTTAAGCTAACATAACAGTGATATTTATTGTAAAATGATATGGTACGGTATTATATATAACTTATATAAAATACAGTTTCAATAGAGAATGCAATTCTCATATTTCTGATAGGCAATATATGGCTCCTACTGGGATAAGGTTTAGCCAAAAAATATAGCATAATATATCCTTATTGTGTTTCAAATGCATATTTAGTTGCAATAATAATAAAAATACA